CATCTTCAAATGCGTCCTCCTCCTCATCATCTTCATCATCATCCATAGCTGAAGCTTCAGCTGCTCCATCTCTACTGCCCTAGGCTTGCTCCTCTGGCCATGCTACCACATTATGAAACTCATCCATGGTCCACCTGTGCGCTGGGGGTGTATCATACATCCCAATAAGCATCTTAGTCGCGGCCACCTACCCTCTGTGGATCGACCGCATCTGAGCATTTATAAGAGACATGTACATGTCCCTCATCTGAAATGGCTCTACCTCATGAATCTCTGCAGATGCTTGACCATGTGGTGGTCCTCTTCCTCTACGAGGACGACGTGGTGGCACTGGCTGAGCTGCCTATTCACCTCCACAGTACTGTCTATAATAGGCCTCATCAATAGCTTTCATTGGCCTCTCAAATGGTGGAGCAGAGATATTCACTCCAGCTAACTCACATAGGTGTGTGATCAAAGAAGGATGTCCCAAAGGTGTCTTGTTGTTCATAGTGTTGGCACACACCTGTATCTCATTGGCTATCACCTGGCCAATGTTAATGCTCAACCCTCTAAGCACACAGTATAAAAGAAGTGCCCTGCTAACAGTAATATCAAACACATGGGAGTAAGGCTGAAAGTTGCCATGAGAGAAAGTCATCCAATACTTTGCCAGAGGAGTCAAATCAGTTCTCCTAATGTTCACCCTGCACCATTCCTATTTCTCTGAAAATGCCCTCCAGGCACACACAGCACACTCTCTACATCTTCAAAATCAGTTCCTTCCTCCATATTGAGAGCGAACTGACATTGTTCACCAACCCATTCAGTATTTAAAAATTTGTTGATAGAGTCAAGATCATACCGAATGACGTGGCCTCTAACATAGCTCAAGTAATCCTCAGCAGGATGATCACCCAACCTTCTTGCGTTGATGTAAAATTCTTTCACCACTGCTATGTTAGTTGGTGCAAGGTAAGTCGCTAGCCTCCTCTAGTTCCTACTCACCATTTGCTCTCCGAACTTAGGAGCTAAATCAAGAATTAATCCAACTTTTCTTTCCATTAGGAGCCTTCTATCTTGAACAATCTTGAAGTGTTTCTCATGCTTGCGGGAATGGAACTTGCTAGAATGAGTGCATTCTGGTTCCTTATCCTTCCTCTTAGATCCCATAGTCTTATATCTCTTGCCAAATGAGGAGGCCATCCCTACATAAAACACAATTCACAAAACCACAAGACATGTTGTTAATCATTAGTAAACCACAAACAACACCCCAAAACCATGCCAAATCACCGCTGAGGGCAAACAGAGCCCCTCAGCACAACCAATGATCAAACCAGCAAGCAAAAAAGACCAAAATATCACCTCTGCCAGAATCGCGCTCAGGGGAAATTTTTGTTGAGCGGCGATTCTGTAGATTTTGAAAACTTTGCTTTTAACAATTCCTAACCCCACCCTCATGCAATCTTTCTAGTTGCAGACCCAAATCAAGCATTTTAATCGGTTCAAACAACAATTAATTCATCAAATCATGCATAAAAATCAAAATCCCTAAAGAATCATGCTTAAACAACCATGTTCATATCAATTCATGTTTTCAAGAACCCTAGAATAAAAATTTCTTGAACTTACTTGGGTGGAGATGCTAGATGAATGAAAAATGCTTTAGGAATTTGAAGAAATCAGCCCCTAATAGCAATGCTCTCACCAAACCCTAAACTTGGATGGAAACCTAGTGAGAAAGTGAGTGGAAAAGAGGTTTTGTAAAGGGGGTGTTAAACCGATTTTTGTCGCCTAAAATCAGAACAAACTAAGTTTCCCCACTAATGAAGTATAGGGACAACCTAGGTATCAATCCAAAGACTCAGCTAAAATTAAGCCTAAAGTGTAGAATTAAATCTTGTATTTATTTACTATTTACTAACTACTAAAGCAAGGTGGGGAAAAGAAATATGAACAATGAAATTAAAGAGAAAAGAATGAAGGAATCAAATCTGTATAAAAGAAAAAATGAAGAAAGAAAATGTAATTTGAAATAAAAGAAAAGCAATGAGAATAGAACTCTAAACTACCTAAACAGAAACAGAAATGAAACTACTATGAGAACTTAAATGCAACTAAGATGATCCTAAACTAATGAGCATTATTACTGTCTAATAACAAAATCTAAAGATTATCACTGCAATAGGTAAATGATGCAAGAAAACAAGAAAATAAACCTAACTAAGAGTGCAAAGAAATAGAATAGAAACACAAAACCGATTTGAATCATCTCTGACTCGAGAAGACATCCCGAAAATGTATGCTCACTGTGGAGTCATTCAATTCCAAAAGGAACCATAGAATTTCAGAGTTACAGAATCCAAATCATTTTCTCAACACATAACAAGTACAGAAATCAAAAACAAAGAACAAAATCGAGACATAAACAGGAACAAAACAAAAACACAAAACTCAATTTTATTAACATGAAAAGGAAATTTTACACACTACCGGAAGTCACCAAAACTCTCGCGGACTGTCACCCTCGCGATCGTCTCAACGAAATCCAAAAGTCTAGAACTCTACTTCTACGAAAGCGAAAAAGAACCCTAACCTAAAGAGTGTAAAACTATAGCGAAAAGTAAAGTGCATCTCAAAAGTGTATGAAGTAGTGTTCTCTATATCTTTTTACATAGTGAAAGCCCTTTTTATAGGGTCAGAAAAACAAAGAAAACGAAAGATGGAAAAGGGAAAAACTTGCTCACTACTCTTCTTCTTGATCCAGCGGCCACTGTTCATCATTTTGTTTAAGCCCTCCGATCAACCTCTTCATTGATTCGAGCTTCCCCTTTCGGTCACATGCCAGCTAGCTCCGTTCAGCTCTCCTTCTATGGGCAGGATCGGACCAACTATGGAGCTCTTCTTCCTTTCTCTGCCCTAGCTCTCAAAGGGTTTGGTTTTATCTTTATCAAATGCTCGAGGGCTTCCTTTGTTTTTTCCAAAATGACTCACAAATCTCAAACCCCCAATCAGCTGCAACACCCAAAACTCACCGTTTCACTTAAGCCCACATCCATGCATTTTCATTAAACCAGCAGCGGCCCAGTTCTAGCATAACAGCAGCACCCAATTCCTGAAATCAGACTCACCAAGCAACAAAGAAAAATTTATCAGAAATTAAAGAAAGAAAAGAAAAATTAACAAATAAAAGAAAAGAATTTTTATCAAAAAATTTTCTAAAAAAAATATTAATTTTCTAATTATTAACAAAAACTAAAAATTGTATCTAAAAATCTAATTTTAACTAAATTTCTACAAAACTAAAGAATTCAAAGAAAAACCTAAAACTAGCCTAATTCTAAACAATTAAAAAGAAAAGAATTCTAAGAAAAGATTTTTAACCTAGAAAAATATGTAAATCTAGAGTGTTATCAGGGGGAAAGAGGGAAAAAGTGTAGAGAACTCTTGAGAAAGTGTTTAAGAGTGTGTGGGAAGAAGGAAATCTGAAAATAGAGGTAAAATCGTGGCCTAGGGTATAAAAATACCCTAATGGGCCCTACTCCTGCTGAGCCCAAATGGACCAAACAGTAAAACCTAAATCTGCAGTGTTACCACTCAGTGGAAATTTCCGCTGAGCAGTACTTGCGTGATTTACTCTCCTTCTTCCTAGCTCGCCATAGGTGTCTTATACTCATGCCTATCACTCACTCCATGCACTTAAATTCTCATATTACTCAAACATTCAATCCCTATCATGCAACTAAAATAGAATCAAAAAAACAAACAAAACTAAAGTCAATCAACTGGGTTGCCTCCCAGGAAGCGCTTGTTTAACGTCACGAGCCTGACCCAAAATCTACCAACACCCATCAGTAGGTGTAACAAACCTAGTATCCTTCAGTAGATACTTAACCACCTAGCATCCATCTGTAGATGTTATAACCAAAAGTCTCAACATACAAAAATGTCCAAAGTTTATAAAATTACATTAACCAAAAATAAAAAACTAAAGAAATTAATGTTCTCAAATCACTTGGATGTCTCCCAGCAAGCGCTCTTTTAACGTCACTAGCTTGACCCAGTAAAGCTCAACTTCCATCTTCCATGTTGGTGTTCATCTTATTGTCATCACACCAACTCATCAGCTGCTTCTGGTCCACCTTCTTGAGTCTCCTTGACTGTGGAGATTCAATCTCTATCACTCCATTATCTTTATATTCTTTCACAACCCATACTTTGTTCTTGAATCTTACATGTTTACCAAGTTTGAGTTGCGCTTGCATCAAGTCATCATGAACCGTCTTTCCTTTGCCATCTTTTTCTTCTTCCCTAACCTGTGACAAGAAATAATTTTTACCTTTGAAGTCCAGCTGTTCATCTTTAGAGTTAGTCATGTGTACATCTTGACATGTAGCTTTATGACTAGCCTCTTACTTTTGCATTTGATGCTCCTCTTTGAAGACATAAACGACCACCCTTTCCTCTTGGTCTTGAAGCACTATCATTCCTTCATCTACATCAATGATGACCTTGGCCGTTTTCATAAACGGTCTTTCAAGAATAATTGAAATCCTTTCATCCTCCATTTCCATCACCACAAAGTCCACCAAGAATTGTAGTTTGCCTACACAAACCATAACATCTTCTGCTACACCATAAGGCTTCTTTGAAGATCCATCCGCCATTAGCAAAGTCATCTTTGCAGGTTTGACTTCAAGATCCTCAATTCGCTCAAGTAAAGATAAAGGCCTTAAATTAACACTTGACCCTAAATCAAGTAGAGCTTTCCTTATCTCTTCCTTCCCTATGACGCAAGGAATGGTAAAACTTCCTGGATCTTTCACTTTTGGAGGAGGTGGTTTCTTCTTAACACCTTTGCACTCATCAATCTCCTCATCTAAATATCTTTTCTTTTTGGAGACTGGTTTCATATGCTTCGTATAAGCTGAAATTGTTGCAATGCTTCATCCAAAGAAGATCAACCTCCAATTGATTGAAGATATCTTTAAAATGCCCAAATTATGTCTCTTTCTCAATTCTCTCACAACCTTCTAGATAAGGAAGAATTTTTTTAAATATTTCAAAAAAATTTCTCCTCTCTTTTCTTCTTTTTCTTTTCTTTCATCCTCTTCTTTTCTCTCTTCTTTTCTCTCTTCTTTTTCTTCTTTCCTCTCTAACTAAACTCTTTCAACATCAACACTCACTAAAACTTTACACTCTTCCTTCGGGTTAACCTCAGTATTAGCCCCACAACTCTTATCAAGCATATCTTCCAACTTCTTAGCTATTTGGCCAACTTGCATCTCCAAGTTTCTAATGGCCGCTTAGGTGCTCTTGTGGTTGGAAATAGTCACCTGCATAAATTGTTGAAGTGTCTCTTCCAACCTTGTTGATCTTTCATTGAGTGTAGACACTTGTTGCCATAATGATGGTTGTTGTTGTGGCCTATTAAATTGCCCTATTTGTCCAGCTTGTCCATTTTGACCTTGACCCATGCTGGGATGAGGTTTCCACCCTTGGTTGTAATTACCTTGGCGGTATGGAAATTGATTGGCCATGAAATTTACATATTCTAAAGCCTCCACTGGAAAAGCACATTGACCATTGATATGGTCACCACCACATAGTTCACACATATGTTGTTGTTGAACCTGTGCAACTCCCTTTAGCTCCTTTGGCAATTG